GAGACGCCGCGACGTAAAGACGTATCATTTATATTTACAGTGGGTCAAAAAAGTATTGGCACACCCAGTTTTCTTCGAATATCTGTAAACAACTAAGTAATCTATTAATATTAACTATGTCTATTAGTGCCTTTTGATATATATGAATTGTATGTTTATTAAAAATTCTCGGTTATTTATTATAAGGAAGTAAAGTGAAGAAAACAAAAAATCCACAGTCAAAAAAGTATTGGCACACGTACGGTTTTACTATAAGAATAAGAGTTACTCGCTTTTTTTCGCGACAAATTCTGTTTTATTAACGCAAACAAAACACTATAATGAATTTCTTTCCTCAGTTAACACAGTCAGTTTTTGTTTGCGATTTGAACAACAATCATGTCTACGAAGAAGAGCGAGTTATCCTTAAGCGTGCGAAATAAAATTCTTTCATTGCATAAACGTGGTGAAAGTTACCGAAAAATCGGTAATTCTTTAAATTTAAGTTTTTCGACAGTGAGGAATATAATAAAAAAGTTTGAGGAAACTGGTAGCGTTGAGAACAAACCTCGATCAGGGCGTCCACGAGTACTCACAATTAGAGAACGCAGAGGCATTGTCAAAGAAGCAACAAAAAATCCTTTTGTAAGCGCCAAAAGTTTAGCTGTTGACATCGTAACATATTCGGGAAAAGAGGTGAGTGCCCAAACAGTGCGAAATATCTTACATGCTGCAGAAATATATGGCAGAGCAGCAAGAAAAAAACCGTTTATTAATGACACGAATAGGGAGAAACGGTTCAAGTTTGCAAAAATATATATAAATGAAACAATGGAATTTTGGAAGACGGTGATTTTCTCGGATGAGAGTAAATTTAATCTTTTCGGCTCTGATGGAAAAAGATTTGTATGGAGAAAACCGAACACCGAATTAAATCAGAAGAATATTATTTCTACAGTAAAACACGGTGGTGGTCACGTCATGGTGTGGGGCTGTATGTCATACCATGGAGTAGGAAATTTAGTTTTTATTGACGGTAATATGAATGCAGATGTCTATATCAACGTGTTGCGAAATAATATATTAAGCAGTGCAACAAAAATGGGCATCAACAGCAACTTTATTTTTCAACAAGATAATGACCCTAAGCACACGGCAAGGAAAACCAGAGAATGGTTATTGTACAATGTACCAAAACAACTCCCTACACCACCTCAGTCGCCGGATATTAATCCGATAGAAAATCTGTGGCAGAAAAGCTAATTACCTTAGATGACCCTTTTTACCAGACATTAAACATTTTGGTATTGCACAAGGTTTTCTGTCCACTGGTCACATACTGTTCGTCAATACCTGGCCAGATAGCACGAAAATACAAAGCAGTCGATACGAGAAATGGACCGTTTTACGGCTCCGAACGTTGTTTTGTAAAACGGCTGCTGGTACGTGCACATTTCAGGAATGTGAAACTTATTTCTTTATTTACTCCTAGATCCTCAAATTCATCCCTTATCTTAACCTAAACATCCTGCTATGTACATCCCTATCTAATTCCGCGAACCATTATTTACATCGCACAATCCCCAGACAATAACAGATCATAACTAATCTCTCCTTTATCTTCTCTTCTGACATCACCGGGCAATATAAAAAGCCCAATTCGAGTAGCCTCACGAGCAGTAGCAGTCCGACTAGTTACAGGGTTCAATCCTCTCGTGCTGGTTTCTGCTAGTTCCCATCCCAATTCTACCCATTTCCTACCAACTGCAATTTGTATCAGCTTATATTCCGACATTGTTCCTAATATTGAATATATTTTATATTTAGTTATATTCGCCTTTAATCATTTTTCATGAACTCGAGATTTCTAAGAGCTTTTGATTATTTAAAATACGTATACTCGATTACGCAGGATTTAGTGGTGCGACACAGCCGCACGAGATCCATTATATTGCGAAGTCGAGATAGTTAATCCACATCGTCACGCTGCGCTGGTGCGACACATAACCGCACGGTGCGCATATGTGTTGCATTTTTAGTCGGTTCATGGGGGACGACGATGAGGAGGTCGTAGATATCAATTACGTAAGATCCTACGCACCCTATATCTAAGTTAAGTATCGGTTATTACCTATTGATATACCTGTGAAAAAGATCACAGTGAAGGATCTACTACCTACGGATCCGAGACGAAAAATCTATTGTAAAAATTAAGGAGGAAGCTTCGGGTAAGTACTGTGTCATACTTGTACACCCTGGGATCCCTGACATACGACGGGCGCACGTGCCGCATGGTCTAAAAGATTGTCAATTCAAGAGCGATTCCGGATCTTCATATTGATATCAGGAAAGGTACCATCCGGGACGTAACAAATAAATCACCACACAGAAATTCTCAATTTACTTCACTATCACATATCACTGTCATCTTTGATTATTAACTTTCATTATCATTTTTCCCTGTCACTTTTCACTAATTAGTTACTGCGAGTCCGTAAATAAACCGAATGAAAACACATGAATGAAAATTCATGAATAATTTTAACTGTGCTGTCTTGAAAGAAAGAAAAGAGAATTTTTGATTAAAAACAACGATACATTTTATTCCGACACATTTCTTTCGACAATAAACGATGACTGTCGATCGACGCCGTAGTCGTTCAACAAATCATTGTTTCATGGCAACCGTTCGTGACGTATGCCTCGCGATCGAGAACGAAACCGAGATCCGTGGCCCGTTCAACAATGTCTCTTAATAAAATATAATATAATTTCAATTCTTCAATTTGGATACCTTATAATGAGAATACGAGGTGCGACACACAAAAAAAAAACGAGACTAAGTGTGTAGTTTGAAAAAACAATGGAGTTGGCAGAAATTATTTTGATGGCATCATCCCACACACGTCCTCTATTCATGCTGCCAATTTGGTTTTAATCCGTCATGCCATTTGAGAGTATTACATCATTGAGTAAACACGTGCAACTGCATTCTGCCGGAAAAACGTCTAATGTAAAAACCGAACAGCGAATATACATCAAGTTTTTTGTATAATTTGTTGAAATTTGTTGTAACATGTGATGAGACATGGATGTTTACCTATGTCCCAGAAAGTAAGCGTCAGTCGATACAGTGGAAGTCTCTAGGATCCCCAAAACCCAAAAAAGCACGCATGTCAAAATCAAAATTCGACATGAATGGAATTGTAATGATTGAGTGGTTTCTCAGTGGTCAGACTGTTAACCAACACTATTGCATTGAAGTATTAAAAAGACTTCGTGAAAAAATTAGAAAAAAGAGGCCACAGTTGTGGAGCGATGGATGGCTGTTGCACCAGGACAATGCACCCGCTCACACAGCAATGTGTGTCAAGCAGTTTCTGACCAGCGAAAATATTACTGTGATGTGGCATAAACCTTATTCACCTGATTTGGCTCCATGCGACTTTTTTTTATTTCCTCAAGTTTAATTTTGCTTAAAGGGAACCCGATACACTTCAGTCGACGAAGTTCAGGCAGAAACGGAGAATCTCCCGAAGGGACTTCCAAAAACTTCATTTCAGAATTGTTACCAGTAATGGCAGCGACGAATGCAGAAGTGTGTGAATGCTGAAGGGGACTACTTTGAAGGTGGTAATGTCACGGAGAACTGATTCTGAAGATACAATGATTTATTGGACTAGCCTCGTTTTTTTTTTGTGTTACACCTCGTATAGCGTATTGTTAAACATAAATATTTATGAATAATCGTTCACGCTTTTTCATTCGACCCGTTCACCGGTCGTGCTTATGTTGTGCAATTATTATTAGAAAAAGACAGTGAAATAAATTGAGAGTTCATTGACACTGCGAGGACATCAGATGCTCTGATCGGTGGATCTACCCGATCCATAATTTATTACAAAGAGTTGACGCGTCTGTTCGTCTTGAGATCTGGCGTCGTTCTAGTTTTTAAAAACCGCGGTTGCTCTCAGCTACCGGAAGCCCTGACTACTCGATCCACTCGTCCCGTCTGACGACTTCTGCAGACCGCTTCAATTCGTGGTCAGGACCAGCTTCACTTCATAAGTCGCGAGGCTCGCTTTATATCGCAACAATATGTTATATTTTATTATCAGACAAGGGATAAACCAATTATTTTTTATTATGTAGATATAATATTAGATTTTAAGATGTTTTATAATATTGAAGGTTTGCCATAACAACAATAAAAGATCAAGGAACCATTACTTGTCCGTTTTAACAGTTGGTAGGCACATTGAGCCCAGGGTTGGCGTAGTTATATTTCTTTTTTTCAGTACATGTAATTTGAAAAGTCGTGGCGATCCTTGGGTTTATTACTTTTACGGCAATTTGTAAGTCGAGGACCGGATGGATCACCGGTCAACGGTTTTGGGCCGGATGACCACCGCAGGGGAAAGTGAGAATTTCCGATTTCGAGAGACATCATCAATTTTCCTACCCCGTGTTTTCTCCCTTCCCAGCGTCCTGAGAAGGACATAAATACTCTGTAAAAAGAAGATGCGAGACAGTCTTCGCTAAGAAATTTACATTGAAACATTAATCACCCTCCGTATTTATTATTTGTTAAATTGTTGTCGGCCTTTAATTGATTTTTTCCATCTTTAACCCGGAATAGTCTACAGTTAACTTAAACAAATTCGATTCACTCGTTCTTGTCACTTGTTACGAAGATCTAAAACAACAAATTCCCACATTTTGAAGGAAAAATAACATTTCTATTCATCAAAAGAAGTTTTAAATCTAATGAATAACTAATGTATTAACTCCTGTCTATTTTAAATTCACAAAATATGTAGAAATAATGTAAATCGGACTCACTCATTGTTTAAAAGAAGTTCTACTTCGGTGAAAATATATCTCCGTAGCTAGGTCGTTCTATCAACCCTGATCTTCCGGAAAAGAAAGTATACGCCGCATAATAGGCATTGCCGCTGCTAGGTTAATGAGCTCACTGTACAACCGACATTTTTGTAATGGAAAAAGTTGTTCAGTGCCGTCTCAGCTGTATATTTATTCTCTACAACGTTTCGATAACACAGATATACTCTGTTATATTTCTGTAAAGTTCTCTAAAAGGAAAATTCACGTAAAAGAATAGGACGATAGTATGAACAATTTAGGAATGACTTGATGGTCTGTCATCGGAGTTTCCCAAACATCACAGTAGGTATATGGGCTTTTACGTGACGTAAATATAAACATCTGGAGTGCAAATGGGATCGGACGGTTGTACGTAGACTTCTAATAATCAACTGCTTTTTATGTTCTTGTAACTTTATTTGGAAACGTGGTATTTTCAAATAGAGTCGTTCGTACAAAAAAGTTACTAATCAGTTACATACGATTGTATCATTTCGGAACCTTCTCTTATTTTCGCCCTTATTTTCTTACTGCTGCCTAATTACATCTAAAGCAAATGTGTCCGAAACAGTTTCCCTATAGCTATAATTACTTTTCAATTCTGGATGATGTGGTAGAGCGTATCGTAGTTTATCCCAGAATGAAGGGTCTCCCCACTTTATGTATGTGTGCATGTTTAAGTACGCCTTAAGATCCGAGTCGAAGTTATCAATGACGTTGATTTCACCATACAGAATTAAAATCACTCTTGTTCTACCTTCACTGAGAGCTTGACAGTGTGCTGCTTTGAATTCCATCCGTCCCCAAACGCTATTTAGAAAATTAGTCGACAATACTACTATCGTCCGTCTTGAATTTTCGACAGAACGAGCAATTTGGGTTGGTATATATTCCCCAGCCAGCCACTCACGAAAGTGCACACACAGTTTGAAAGGTCTAGGACCATCTTCCAACTTTTTGATAAGCTCATTTACAACAAAATCTTCGTCATGATGCGAATAACTGATAAACGCATCATACAACTTATTCTTATCTAATTCATCTTCTGTTACCAGCCATAAGCAGAACTTATGAGCATACAACCATACCTTGATCTCTCGCTGGTATCGATAATATAGTGCTATTACAGTACTAATGATTAATGCAGCAATAATAACAGCGAAACTTGCACCTACTATCAATATCATGACGTTGTTTGGGCAAACATCTTCCATTCTTATCTTTAGTATGGGAATTTTGATATCTCTACACTCGATCATGGATAAATTCAAAATCCGCTGAGAAGTTTGTGACTGGATGAAGTCTACGAAATCCCTTGAGTCGCAATCACATATCCATGGGTTACCATGTAACGTAAGAGTTTTTAGCGTCGTGGAATTTCTTAAATACTGTATAACTGCTGATTTCAATCTTTTAATGTTGTTATTATGCAGTTCCAAAATCTGAAAACGTTCACTGTCAAACTGATGGATTCTAAACTTACAAGTATAAATAGCATATTGTATAGTTAAAACTATTAATTCGTTAAAAGGTTCATAAAAACGTGTGAAAAGATCTACATCAGCAGAGTTACTTTAGTTATTTTAGATGTAGAGAATACTTTATACACTAGTCAAAAAAATTAAGGGAACAGAAAAATTCCTTAAA